TCCAACGATCGGTGGTATGTACCAGACGGATCAGATACCGACATCAGCCTCCAGAGGGAATCCGTGCATCCAGGATCTTCGGGAATTCTAAATTCAATTTCGTGTACGAATACTACAAGGAGTGCTCAACCATCCTCGAGATGAATCCTGACTTCCACTTCATCTCTGGGCATGAACGACAACATGGAGTCAAGGTATTCTGGCTGAGAGCTAGATTCAATGATTACTGGCAGCCAACGCTTCAAGGTGAAGGCCAACACACAGAGAAACAACACATGGACTTCATCAAGAAGGTCTACAGCATTTGCTGCTATACCAATGCTCAGCCAGAAGTTTTCGGAACAGACATCATTCCATGGTATGTCACAACCGCCATATTGATCTCGAGAAGACCGTCCAGAATGTTGAACAGGCTTGCAAATACTTCAACATCCAAGGCAAAACAGATCACCGACCTCATCCTCTGGCGAATCGAGAGAATGAGCAGATTGTTTTCGACACGATCCAAGGCAAGGCCAACACAGAGAGTGCAAACGACAAGTGGACATGGGTCCTGATGGATGCGTTGAGCTCTACGATGCATTGACCTGCATTACGCATGCCAGGAACTTCATGGGCAATAAGCCAGGACTTCTCCTGATGGCTATGTTCCCGAACTATGGAAATGCACGTTTCGAGATTGCGTTCGTGTATCCATCCGTGGACGGGTCATACAATGAGCGAAAGGCAAGGGGAGACATTGTTCCAAGAAATCGATGGATCGACAATCTCACCTCTAGATCCGCATACGATGCACTCCGGCCTAATGGCAAGGAATTCCTCAATGATCCCGACATGGAGTTCTACGTGAGATGCAACAGCGGTCATACACGACAAGTCGATCTCCAATCTTTTGGACGACCCCTGTACTCCGAACAGAAGAGTAAGCCTCGCCAAGAAGAACCGAACTATGATCTTCCAACGGAATCCATTCCTCCAAGTCCGCATCCGTCAAGATCCGACGCGCCCCATGAAGACGAAGGCACAGCTCAGGCAAAATCCAGAATGCGAAGGCCGGCACCTCAATCCATTGAAGAAGAGAGAAAGATCAAGCCGTTCGCGAAGAAGCCCATCACGTTCATGTTCCATGCTACATATGGAGAGAATCTGATCAACATCATGGAGCACGGGCTGAAATCTGGGAGATCCCAGTCAAACCCCTCGGGGAGAGTGCACATCCACATGGCGTGCATCGACGACGTTATCCTTGATGACGAGGCGTCAGAAGCAGCATTGACACATGTGCCAACAGGAAGAGATGCATTGTTGATCCTGGCATTCCTCGAGGACCAGGACTACGACATCCGACTCTCCGAACAGCGAACAGCATTGACAGAGCAAACCATCGAGGCGAGGAACATTGTTACAGCATTTGATCCCGAGGGAAACATCATAATGAGTAACAGTTGGATCATGAAGAAAAATCTCGGTCGTGAAGACATTGAGATGTACAGCAGCAAGATCCAAGAATTCGCCGATGCCTTCTTCAAACATGTGAATAACGACCACCAAAACAAGGAAAGATCCGAAAAAGATACATCCACAGAGACCAAGAAGCGACGGCGCTCCACCGATCAGGACGAAGTTGAAGAGGAGAACATGGAACCCTCCGGGGAGAGATCCGTCAAGCCAAAGGTCACCAGGGAGTATCACAATCTCGAGAACCTAGACGAGTTCATCCAGGAACTCAAGGAAATCTACCTCAAAATAGAAATGAGCAAGAAGGACGCCGAGGAAGAGCTCGTGGAGACCAAAAAGAACTTCATCCGCTTCATGGAGAAGTACAACAAGGATCCAAAGGGAGCTCATCCTAAATTGACAGAATGCGAGAGAGCCTCATTGGCACACATCGATTCCGATGTCAACCTCGAACAAAAAAAGTTCTATTTCCACCATCGAGGAGAATGTCCCACCATGGACGAGTACAGGAAGGCACAGCCAGTATCAGGATATCCGATTAAGCTTCCACTTGGATTGAAGAAGCTTAAGTCATATGACAACCCAGAAGTCATCCGAGCATTTGCCGATACCCTGGGATCGCTGATGCAGCCGACCGACCGTTCCCCTGTGGACCATCTCAAGACGCATGAGTTCACCTCATCCCTGACGATCAACATGCTTACTATGAACCATGGAAACCTCACGAGGAATCCAAAGTTGGACAGCAAGGAGGTGTACAACATGGCGATGAAGGATCGACCCATCGTGAATATGATGATGCAGAACAGCGCACACATCTTATATGCCTCAATGAAGCAGACGCATTCCTCAGTCCTCAAGATGAGAAATCCAGGGAACTCATCAAGACGTTCATCCGATTTGAGTACAAGGGCTTTTTTTTTCAAGCAATGGTCATCCAGACCAATCGCACGCTTTGTCCGCGGCGGACCATCCGCAAGAGTGGAACTATTGGCACGGCACATTTCCACAAAGAGTCAGAATTGGGGAACCACATTCGGGATATTTCTTCGGAACCGAGGAAAATTGCACTGATCCTGAATACGACATTCCGACCTCGGACTGCCTGGCAACTACGGGACCATCCATGTTCACTGAATCCAAGAAGTACATTGGACCGAGATTGCCACCACGCACCACTGTCCAAGGACACGGGCGTAACAAAGAGATCGTCGTTCTCCACATCGAGCAGAGTGATGAGTATCGTGGTATGCTCCCAAAATCACCCAACAAATCACTCCTCGAGTTTGATAGCCGCCACGTAACGAGGGCAGACCTCCCGTTTGCTACCATTGGAGTTTTCACATTCATCCATCAATCAAGATCTTCTGAACGAAATCATGCCACTCGTGACATTGTACCAATGCGATGCGATCACCGGAGACGCCAACAAATCCGCGAATACCTACAGCAGACTCCAGCACGTCTTCAATCCGGCCAACGGTCTCATGAATATCCTCATGAAGGCATATCAGAAACTGTGGAATGAAACGGAGAATCTGCCACTCGTGGACAGAATGGAGTATGGAGACTTCATGCACCCTAAAGTCCATCGTCCGTCATCACCTATACATGAAGACTGGATCAGGGTATGATCGAACATTCCCAGATGTGATGATGACTTTCGTGTTTGGATGGGGCAAAACGAATATCCAGCAGGTTTTCCGGAAGGAAGAGATGAACGCCATGAAAGATGAACAACTGGAAGCCATGCGGAACGATCCGACGTCTGCCATTTTCGACTATCAGGACTCATCCGCGGAACGTTTCAAGCACGTGAACAACGATATGTTCATGAATGGCTCACAAGATTCCGACTCACACAGTCCGCTGATGGTCTACATCCGCAGCAGATCTGCCGCCAGGCAACGCAACTTTGAGAGATCCAAGGAGCACCTCAAGAAGAAGCAATCCTGGACTCAGCAAGGGTACAAAGAGTACAACAAGCAGTACTGGGGCAATCCAAAGCAATGGAAAGACTATGGCGACTCGACCTGGAATGATTATGGAGACTATGGCAGTCAATCCGACAGCAGCCGTCGGTGGTACCGCTGATCACCTGATGAAGCAGCCACCTTTGGCACTTATTCGACCGACTGAGAAGACTCCCACGATCGGCACTACGAACTTCAACCAGATTGATCCTCACCGCCAACAAGACTATTCAGTGAGAGATCAATAGTTTCACATCCGTCCCGCATGTACATAGCGTTGTGCATCACCTTTTCGATACATCTAGGTATCTCACAGAATCAGTACAGACTGTTTTCCATTTTGCTCACATGACAAATCATCCGCGCCAAAATTGGATGAATCATTGTAACAATACATGGCTACGGCACTTTCAAGTATGGCTACGGCACGTAAGGCCCAGAAGCCAATCATACACTTCGGTGTGAAAGGTCAAAAGAAATTTGTGTCTGTTTTGTGTTGCTTTTTGTTGCACATTGACCTATTCACACACTCCGCTGACATGATCTCTCTCCGGAATAGATCCAGGGACCAAATCAACGACCTCTACTACCACAGGGTACCAGTTCCCTTCTGGGATAGGCACCCCGGCAGTGGGCCTCACCCCCCCCACCCGGTACGTTCGAACACCGCCCCCCCCCCTCCACTATGTTCAGCCCGAACAGCTGAAGTCTCCTATGTGCGATGGCCAGCAGCACCCTTGAACCAGTCACCGTTTGGTTTTACCCTTTTTTTGGGGAGGGTGCCCCTACTAAAATAGACTACAGGAAAAAGGAGGACCTAGTTTAAATAACCTCTGTGTGCCCACAGGTGAGTTTCGCGGGGTGATGCTTAAAGGGAATCGGACACACCCTGTTCTCAAGTCAGAGCCGGAGCTGTTGGCAACATCTCCATGGTTTCGCCTGATGTACAGTGAGCGTGGTGTCGACTATCCCGCAGGCCGCCAAATCTGTGGTACAACCGAGCTTTCTTTGTTTCATTTGCAGGCCAAGAAAGAATTAGCTGTCACAAATCACTGAACCTGAGGCGCGCGTAGACACAAACACGTTGTTGTTGACCGTGGTCCAAGTTAGAAGCCACTCACAAAATACAATTCAACATTCAGAAACGGCTCAATTCAACCTTCCCTCGACTGAATGGAATTGGGGGAAGGGTACCGTTTGTTCAATTATCCTTTGAGAACACCTGCCCGCACCCCACACCCTGACGCAGAAGAGGAATCGGGGGGGAGGGGGCGGAGGAGTGATAGCACACCACGTTGGGTGCTTGTGAAGGATGTCCTTTTCCGGAATCAGGCCTTTTAGTTCCTGGAACATGCTGTTGATGTGTTTGGGACCCCCATGAGTTTCACCATCCGCAAATCTGATAGAGAGAGGCCCTCTCTTGAGGCGCATTCAAACAGGAGAGCGCCGTTTTCCTCTTTTGTGTCCAATCCATGCGAACAGAACTGCCCTTTTCCTGGAACAAAACCGCGCGCTGGCTCCGTCTGTTCGGTTCTCCACATGCCGGGCTTTTTCACGGTTCCCCGTCAGGACGTGGAAGAACCCGAGCGCCACCAGATTGCCCCTTGGCAACTCGGAATGGCCACTCCATTCTGAGAGCTCGAGCGCCCAGAAACCAAAGAGTGGTTCAGCAGTGGTTTAAACCTAGGTCTCCCAGTGCCCTTTACCAGCTTTTTTTGGGGGGAGGGCTCCCCTAGTAAAATAGACTACCGGGGGGGGGGGGGAAAAAAAGGAGAAGAAAGAAGAGGAACAGGTGCCCTTATTCCAACCTCTCTACCGGAGGACCTGGAAAGACCGTTGGGAGTGCGGGGATTCGCAGTGGGCTTCATGTTGTGTCGAATTTCCAGGCTTAAGGCCGGCACCTTGCGGCTGTTCTGAACCCAGGGATCCGAATCTTGTTAGGAAACGATCAAAATCTGAAAGAAAACGGCCGGTTTCTGCACAGCACGATGGAGGAAAAGAATGGGGAATGAACCCCTAGAATAAAGCAAGTTGACACTAAGCAACCCCACATGGGTGTGTGATTCTTGAAGCTATTTTCCCTTTTCAGGTTGGTCCAAGGAACAAAGTAAACACTGGTTTTTGGACGTCCTATCCATCCCCGGAATGTGAACACCGAGCTGCAGGTGTCAAAGATTTAGGCCCCCGTGTGCAAGCGGTGCCGCCTTCTGGCGGGAAAGGGAAAGGGAAAGGGGGAGGTGTAGACGACGCGTCAACGAGGGCAATCGGATCTGAAGTGACAGAGTGGCACATTCCGAAAATCACCCTGGCGTGATCCGGTGGAACATGTTTTTTGGGGGCACTTTCTGTGATACCCGTGGGGAACCCGACGTAAGTGATAAAGTGGCCATGGAAATGACCCATGTTGTTGCAGATTTCGTGAGCATAGGCGTGGTTTGTGACCTCCTTGATGTATGTTGTGGGATCTTGATTTCAATTTGGGCGAATGACAATTTACAGGCTCCCGACTGACGCTTTTGGCCTTCAAAAATGAGCCATTGCGTGTTTACCCAGAGTCTCACTTTCCCAGTTCAAACTTTTTTGGAAGACCATTTTAGTGGCAACTAGGTCCCCATTAGTGCCTTTTCTCACCCTTTTTTGGGGAGGGTTCCCCTACCAAAATAGACTACCGAAAAAAGTTGGTACCCTTAGTCTAACCTCTCTACTGGAGGACCTAGATGAGGACCTTGAACCTTTGGCAGTTTGTTGGGACGGGCCAGGCCGACCCAAATTCCCGTGCTCTGCACCTCTATTTGGATGCGGTGCGCCAGGCTCCTGCCACTCGGCTTCTCGCAAACGTCTCCAAATGCTTGTCAACCCCTTGGAACTGTTGCATTGAAACGAGCTCACCATGATAAGTGTCCTTTACTTGGGGATCCCGTAAATCAGCTTTTGGAATCCACATCTGCAGATTTAACATGGAGGCCTGGGTTGTTTTGAGGGTACCGACCCGATTTGCGAAAAATTGGGTCCTTCAACAGCTTTCTCGCCTTGAATTTGTAATACAGGTGGGATCTGCCAAAAACAAAATATCAAAGCCGTAGCACACTGGAGGTTCTTTTTCTTGGCTCAGCAGGGAATGAGTTGGAAAGACCCCTAAGAACCATCCCCGAGTTGGTTGCCTTTTTGCGAAAATCCCAAAGCGCTTCATTCCATGTCTCATTCCCTGCTTATCGCGCCAGCAAGTTTTGCACCAAGACATGGCCCCCGTTCGTAGAATCGGGCAATTTCCCGACACATCGACTTCAGGGGAACCCCCCAACCCCACCACCCACTCACATCATACGAGCCTTCTGGGTCAAAGTTGAACCACGAGAGAACCGCAAATTTTAGTCCTTGTTTCCATTTCTCAGGGCTCCATGTTAAATACGTGTTTTGGACCCACACCCAAGTCTTGGGTGTTTGCCTTTCGGTTTCCCCTTGTGCCCCCCAAGAAAAGCCGGGCACCCTCGAAAATTTCCCGGGCCATATGCTTCGTGCGCACGGCCCCGCTCGCCGAGGAGACCTTCGTAAAACTGGTGGACCAGCGGCGCGAGATGTAAGAGGTTGTCTTGGTGGCGCAAGCCCAGCCATCCGGTTCCAAGTAGCTTTTGCGCCAATTAAAGCCTTTTAGAGTTTGGTAGTTTTCATTCAACCCACTAAAGGTGAGTAAAAAGCCGTTTGAAAACGGATCTGAAAACGGGCGGCCCAGTTGTCTCTCGCGTTCCGGGCACGATGCGTGCCACGTGCTCTGGAAGCGGTCCACCATGCGGCCTGAAGCCGTTGGCTGAAGCAGGGCAACAGAAAGCCCACAGCTCAGTGGCCCGAAGCGAATCGGCCTTGAAAAACCAGTTGGAATTTGTTGCCCCATGCTGGCTTAACCATTTGTGGAAAAGGTTCCAAAAGGTGATCACCTTGTATTTCCAGGTCCGTTTAGCAAGTGAGTGTTTTTTGGGTGCCAACAACTTGCTCCCATTAGGTCCACTATGTGTTCACTTCCAACGAGTTCCGTTTCGGACGTGGGTCACTTTTTGAACCATGTTGGTGGCAAATCAACAGTTTGGATACTTGGGGCCATCCCCTCAGGAAGTGAGACATGTTCAATTGCTATTTGTCCCAACAGGTCCCCGAAAGGGGATAGATGTAAAAATATTCAGATCCGCTACTCAACGCCCAATCTCTTAGACAAAGAACAAGGCCTTGCTTTTCTCATGGCACTGCCCTAGAAACCAATAACGTTACCTTCCCCCCCCCCCCAACCATGACCGGGGCGTCCTTGTTCGAACTATATATCAGGTATATGACGCGTAGAGTGTCACAGGCTGAATTGCTTCCACCCGCTATGCTGAGAAGAGAGTCTTTGCCACACTTGGCTCAAAGGCTGACTGGGGTACACTGGTTTTCTTCATCGGGGGCCGGCGCGCGTCTCTATACGCGGTGAGAGCTTACCCTAGCCCAAGACCTCATGATTTGAAGCCTGGGGGTCAAGGCCCTCATAGGGTCTTGGGCTAGGGTTAGCTTGGTTTTTGTTGCAGCAGGTTGGTCTCCTGACTTTGAGACGCTCCGTTGACTCCCTCGGCGCCGCTTGGCCAGACTCCACGCGAACGCCGCGAACGACGCGCGCCGCTCGCGAGCCTGGCCACAGGGGAAACCTGAGTCCGAACCGCCTCGGACAGAAGCGACCCCAAGCTTTTGGGGAGCCCTAGTTTTACACACCTTTTATGCCTGCGAAGCTCGAAGCATCCGCATCCGCATGCCTTCCAAAACCAATGAAGCGGCTGAGGAGATCTCATGCGCGGAAGACGTCCCAAACACCCGTCTCCCGAATCCGGACAAAAACGGCTCCGTGACCATCCCCAACCCTGACGAAAGGGTGACAGAAATTTCCACCGGGAGGCGAAAAGGGGGCCTTTTTTGCGTTTACTTTCAGGTTTGATATGGACCATATATATATATATATATATTTTAGTTTATGTCATGTTTAGTGCTGAGGGAGCGGAGAACCTCTCGTTTGTACCTCTCCATCTGCCAGAGTTAGCCTTTTGCCGCCTTTATTATTTCATCTGGTCAAACTAGTGGTAGTTTATGGTTCATTTGAGAGGGACATTGGACATGGGGGCCTCGCCAATTTGTCCATGCGTATGAAAAAACCTTCGTGATTTTGACCGTGGCTCAAATGCCCCTCGTTCCAATCGTGCAAGCTGTCACTGAGATGTGCCCTCAGTCAACTTACATTTGAGTCTGTCTTTTGTAAGGGTACCCCTTTTGTGTGGCTTCTGAAAGAAAGGGCAAAAGCCACTTTGGGGTCGCTTCAAAAACGACCATTTGAAGCCTTTCTTAAGGAGTCGGGACTGCGCTGAGTTTGCACTGCGAGTGGCCCTGTCCCTCACTCCAAGGACCCACTTCACGTTTCGAGCGCTTGAACTCGGAGGCCTTCCCGCAGCTTCTTCGCTGTAGCTTCCATCTCTTGGCTTCTTAGACGCGCGGGATATGTTTGTCTTGAACACCAAAATGCATTTGGGCCCCCCTGCTTTTTGAGGGAGTGGGCTTTCATGTCCATTCACCCGGGTTGATTCCCAGAAAGTCCCGTACCACAGGCTGGATTCGAGCTGACTGCTGGGAGGTTGGCCGCAGGCACACTCGCGACAGGCTGAGGTTTGCCTCCTGAACCCTCCCTTTGGCTAACGGCCGGCAACTGCCCATCTTTCCCGTATGGCAAGAGCAAACTGGTGATACTTCCCCCCCAACCCACTTTAAGGGGATTCCCTTTCTAATGAAATTCCTTTGTTGGGGCACGCCTCAATGAATGGAGGTGTTTTGGTCCGGGGTCAAGATTAGAGGACGCAAACGCAGCCCAGTTTCCCCAGTAGGTAACCGAGTGAAAACATGATACAGGTTTTTGTCTGTTTTGACCGGCAACAGGTTGGCTTGAGATTGTTTGTGTTTCTTTTTGTTTTATATTGACACCTATGAAATGTAAAGCTCCTGGCGCTACCCGTTACCCCAGTATATAGTGGTACTGGATCCAAAAATGGAAGGGAGCCTGGATTTTCATCGGCTTGACCGCGGAACTCTTTAAAGATATGCTTGGGCCAACAACAGGATGACTCAAATGCCGGCTGAATTAGAGGATCTTCTTGTAAAGCACGCTTGTTTGGGTCACCGGAACCCGAAAAGGAGGAACCCTGACCTGTCGCATTGGCGCGCCGCTTGTTTGGGTGGTGTTTTTCTCCCAACAACCAGGCCACGTGTCCTGCGCGGCTGGCGTTGCACTTGTCCCATGGGTCTGTTCGAGCTTCTCATGTGTCATGGGTTGCCCAACCGAAGCCGCTTGTGTTCTCGTGCCTTTGGGCGCCCAAAACCCCCATGTGCCTTTTTTGGTGTTTCCACCTGGCTCAACAGGGATTATCATCCCTGGAGAAGCCTCCGTTCAGAACAGTCGCGTCACGGTTTTGGGCGCTCTGGCTATGCTGAGCGCATCTCGCTGAATGCTTGGGGCCGAATGGATCCAGACCCCGTGCCAGAGGCCAAACAGCGGGGCCAAAGGCACCCGGTCCGGAGGACCGGATTTCGCTCGATGTGCTTCACCAGCACCAAAACGCTACAGATGTCCAACTCCGCCTGTTTTTTTTCCTGGCGCATCGCGCAGACCTTTCTGCCTTTATGCGACGCTCGGTTTGGTCATAGATCTCTTTTTTTGTCATGGCCGACGTGAGAAGGATGTCGCTTGATGGCACAGCCGTGTGTTAAACAGCAGAGCGCACCCCGATCACTCCGAGTGTCCCTTACAGCGTGCCTGTGCAACCGCCAGGCCATTCGCTTTGGACGTCTCAGACCGGTGGAAAAAAAGGCTCTGAGCGAAGCCTGGCTGCGGAAGATTCGAACATCTTGACCGGAGCACCGGAACAGACAATGCGAACCTGGAGTCTCCATGACCCTTTAAACATGAATCCATGACCAACCATGATTTTTCAAAATGGGTCCACCCCATGATTTTGGGTAATGACCAACCATGTGTTAAGGGTCCTTAGGGAGACTCCAGGTAGGTCCTTGAAGTCATTCTCCGGCCCAAAAGATCCGCCCTTCCGGGTTAGGAGCCGGCCGGCCACTCCTTCCCAAATCGCGGTCCTTCACAGGGCTCCTTCAAAGATGTGACCATTTTGCTTGCAACCATTTGAAACCTGCGGGCTTTTTCCTTTTCAACGCCAAAGAAAGGGATTGAAACGTGAATTTACAAGTTGCAATGTTCAGGTGTACAATGCATCCGGATCCCTGCTTCAGTTATGAAGCATGACTAGAGGTGACTCCCGGAACAAGCAAGCAAAGCATCAGACCAGGAATCAATGAGGAGCCCTCCAAAACGGCCATTTGTTGAATAGATATGTCATATGTTGGCCGAAAACCCCGCTCGCCTCCACGGAAATGGAAAAAAAGTCGTTCCATTGGTCCGGAGCGTCACCCTCCCTCTCCCGTGGAGCTGCCGAAAAGCAGCCGGCTGGACTAAAACCTGCGGTCCCCTTGGTTTAAATTTGAGCCATACCCACATGGTGCTGGGTAGACCTTTTCTAGGGTCTCCCAGCTAAGTGCTGCCCTTATTCTAACCTCTCCACTGGAGGACCTAGTTTTTCATACCAGATTTTGATTGTGACTCAACTGTACCGCAGACTATCGCACACGGTCAGTTCACTCATGGTCAGGGTTCTAGCAACATTCCGGTTACGCAGCTTGACGTTAGCTCATGACCCGTGCTTAGGTCAGCTTGCCACAATCGGGAAAAAGAAGGCCGAGCCGGCTCGGTCCCTTGAATATTGGTTTGCTGATCAAGTATGGCTTAGCTTTTCCTTTTTTCCCAAATCTGGTTCACTTCCAGGGACGCGTGTCCAAAAAGTTGAAATCTAAAGGCCCAAGCATGTATAGCCCTAGTTTTGCCTTATTGCCTCCAAACAGGCTTCCCTGGGTTGTTTTGTTACATGAACCAGCCTCGGTTTGAAGTGGTGACGGGGCAAGAAACAGAACCTGCCGCAAAGTCCACCTATAGGTGAGAAGGCATGGGGGCACACGAAAATCACGCCGGGGTCATGCCCTGAATAAAAATTATTCCTTTTCACACATTCCATGTACACGTTCTTTGCGTCCAAGGGACCAGGGACTAGCGCTCGAACCTGGGAGGTTGCACAAAAAAACACAAGGATCCCGTTGCTGGACGGATTAATCATGGAGCTGCCTGATGGATTTCTTGGCGCACCAAAGACCGTATTAGTCGCTATTAACCCCTATTGGGATTGGGGGCCCCTGTTGAAAGGTGGACAACCATAGGAACTCAGCAGTACATCTGGATTGCTTTTGAAGGCCATTCCCGCCAAACAAAACTCGGAGGTACTCGGAGGTATGAAGCTCCTCCTTAGTTTGGGGTAAACCAAAGTCCCATACGTCCATGTGGGCGCGATTTCGGGGAAATCGCAGAGCAGTTCCACAAACCGTTTTCTGGATCTGGGGGGCGCATGAAAATAGGAAACAGTCAATATTTGCCATCAATATTCGGAGTGACGTTGGCCACGCTAAAGTACCAACAGACATGGGGGAAAGTTGAAT